ATTCGGGTCACACCCTTTGTAGTAAACGAACCGACTGACGAATTAATTCGGAAGAAATTAATTCGTCGCCCAAATATTAAATATTTAGACGTCGGAAATTCTAGCATAGAGCGTCGAAACCGAGCATCGGAAGTGGAGTCAGAAATAATAAATGACGAGACGTGCAAAAAATAATAAATCGCCAATATTTCTCAAAACACCCCTAGCATCGGAGTGCCCCGAGCATCCAAGGGCTAGGGGCAAAAACGTCCTAGCATAGGTGGCTGGCAAGCGCACCAAGCCGAGCCATGCACGGCCTGCTTGTGCGTGCTAGCGCACCAAAGCTAGCAGCCGCACGCATCGCATGCTAGCAACAGCTAGCAGCCGCAAGCATGCGTGCTAGCAGAAGCTAGCAGCCGCAAGCATGTGTGCTAGCAGCAGCTAGCTGCCGCAAGCCATGAGTGCTAGCAGCGCACGCACGGGCTGGGCACTAGGCAGGCTGTGGCTGGGCCATAGGGCCGTGTACTAGGGGAGCAAGTGGGAGCATATGCAAAGCAAGTGGGGTAAAGGAGATGTGGAACAAGGATAGCATTGAGTAGGGAGCAAGTATGATCCACTACTCTCCATGTGGTCCTCACCACCCTTTACATATGATAGTGCCACTTGTAGATTTATTATTAGTTTGCTTATTTATTTTAGTTTAGCTTTAAAAAAAATTGTGGAATTTCATGACTCCCACATTGATGGGATAGAAATTCCCACTCTCCCTCTTGCCTATAAATACTCATCTTGGGTTTTTAGGAAGAGTGCTTGAGTAGGAGTTCAATAGATCATTGCATTAGCAAAAACTCTTAAACTCACAAAATACTCGGGTTTGGTCGGACCTCGCTAACCTCGACGTAACGGAACTTAAATTCGCTAGTAGTTTTTGCGGGTGGACTTTTGTTGGAGGCTCTCGTGTGAGCGGGGCTAAAGCTTACAAGTAAGAGCCTGACTTTGAGGGCGAAGCGCGCGTCAAAGGTAAATTCCGATTTTATCCTTTTATGTTTATTTGTTATGTTTTATGCTTTCATTAATTGCGAGTGGTTCTTTGGGTCGGGTTTGTTTCTGCGGGAAGTTGGACTTACCAAACCCCAACAGCGGTATCGAAGCCACGCTCTTTTATTTTTAAAATCATAATATTTTTTCAAGGTGATTTTTATGGCTTAATTTTCTAATCTTGAAGTGCTAATTAGATTAGTAACTCGTTTGTTTTATTTTAACCTCGTATTTAAGCTATCTTCAGCCCCGAACCCAGATTTTGACCCAAAATTAGTGAATTTTGGGTGGAAAATGTGTTCTGCAAATGGTCTTATTCTTCCAAGGGACGGTTTTTAGCCAAAAAACGGTCAAAAATGCAATTTTCGAGGGTTTTTTTCGTTTTTACGAAATTTTTTAATTCTTTCTAACCTTGAAAATTAATTGCATATTTATGGTGGTTATGTAATTGGTTCAATACATATTTTATATGCAATTTTAAACCTCTTTTGGCATGATTACTTGGTAGTAATTTGTGCTTGAAAGCTTAGTTTTATTTTTCACATAATTACAAACTAATTGCATAAAGTGTGAAATTGTTGTTCTTTGAGGCTTCCAAGTATTAAAGATTCAATATTTAATTATGGTTAAGTGATTGAAACTTTATATTACTTAATTCCATGAATTTTTGTTAAACTTTGTTGATTTAATAATTTTTTAGTTGATTAGAGTCATAAAGTGATGAGTGTCATTTATGGCACTCATAGGGTAGTCTTTTAGGGTTATTTATTTCCAATTTTCATGCTTTCTTCTCTTATTTTTGGTCCTTTTTCCTTTAGTTTCTCTTTCTCCTCTTTTCTTTATGGTTCTCGTGTTTTCCTTTCATTTGGCTCTTTTTCCCTTTTATTTCCTTTCTTTGTTTGCTTGTGTAGGTATTTGGAGAGTCACCTTTGCAAAGGAATCAAGTTGGGACCTTAATGACCAAGTAAGGAAGAAGCATTTGGCTTGAGAGGGTTTAGAGAGGCCTTGGAGAAGCCTCGGAGAGGTCTCCAAGGTATTTCCAGCAGGTCGCGGGCGCGGGTCAATGGAGCCGCGGGCGCGGGTCAATGGAGCCGCGGGCGCGGGCTTTAGAAGCACAAATTGCTACATTTTGGCAGGAGCTTCCCGCAGTTGCCCCGCGGGCTCTCCGCGGGCGCCGAAAATCTGGAGAGGGCACTCCTTCTCAGAGAGACCGTGGCCCCCTGATTGAGTTTTGGGAGCAGGGAATTAGTCGCGGGCGCGGCATCTTTGCGCGGGATTTGCCGGTTTCTTCGTTACTTATAAATAGAATTGTAATTCCTTTTTGAAACCAACTTTTTGATAATATTTCATTAGCTTAGTTTTAGAAAGAGAATTTAGAGAGAAGTTAGAGAGAAGTTCTTGGTTTTGGATTTGTAGCTCAACATTTGATCAATCAAGTTTGGATTTCTTCATTTTCAATCATTAATATTAGTGAGAATCTCGATCTTCCTTCTTTCATCTCTTACTTACTTGCTATTTGATTTATGCTTGTTCCTTGTTTTTCTTTGGATTTGAATTTGATATTGTTGAATATTTTGATTTCTCTTAGATTTTGATATAGAATGAAGATTTATGCAATTTCTAGTTATTTGTTCTTGAATTTCACCGTGATTAGTGAGTAGATTAGTTGCTAGGGAAATGGGGAAGCATGTTTGATTAATGAAATTGCTAGTTGATGCTCTTTGATTGATTGATTTGTTGCAATTAAATTGGTTGACATAGTTTTGCATGTGATTGATTAGACTAGGAGTGATCAACCTATAAGATTAATCTAGATTGCATTGCAACTCTTAATGACATGAACAATTGATTTGAAAGTTTCTCTAATTGATTGGGTTTGCTTGTGATTCTTCTTGATTTGCCTTTCATAGTGACACCTAGATTGGCCTATAGGAGATAGCATTTGAACTCTCTTGATTGCTACTATTGTTTGTCCATTGCAATACTTGAATTAATTGATTGAGCTCTAAACTAGCATTATCATTGAACTTGCATGTGGAACCCATATCCCTAGTGTCTAGACTTTTGATTTACTTGATTAGACTTGTTTTAGTTTACCATAGTGCCAACCATAATCTAAACTCCATCTTTGAGGTAGCTTGACTTAGAATCTAGTTTTCATCATTTCATTCCCTAGGGATCGACCCTTAACTTGCCCTATATTCATATAAGGTTGGTTAGGTGTTTAAAAATTTAAGTTGACTTGGGGGAAGGGTAGATAACGACATACATTTTCCTCTTGTCAAAATGGCGCCGTTGCCGGGGAATGCTATTGGTTCTTAGCTTTTGTTGTTGAGTCTACTTCATTTTAATTGAAAAAAAAAATACAAAAAGATTTTGTTTCTTTAGGCTACACTTGTAGCCATGCTACTAATATTTTCTTTGAAGTTTTGCATGCATAGAGCTCGTGATCGATCCATTGTGCCTTTTGACCCGGAAATCGAAAGGACTCTCTCAAGGAGAAGAATAGCTAATCGATCCTTGGGGTATAGTTCTTCAAGTGAAGAAGAGATTGAAGAAGAGAAAGACATGGGAGAAAATCCGATAGTGGCCTTGAAGGAGCTAGGAATACCCGGTGCTTATAGGTTTGAGAGCGGTATAGCTCCGCCTACAACACCGGCAAATGATTTTGAAATTCGGCCGACCATGATCACCTTAATTGAGAGGAGGCAATATAGTGGGGCTAAGAATGAGAGCCTGTTGAACCATCTTAAAGAATTTGAAAAATATTGCAACACCATCAAATTCAACGGAGTTTCTCAAGAGTTCATACGCCTCAAGTTGTTCCCCTTCTCTCTCATAGGAAGATCCTTAGAGTGGCTAGATAAAGAAGTGAAGCCCAACTCCTTGAGAACATGGGATGATGTTACAAAGACGGTGGAGGCAAGAGCCTTGATTCAAGGGTTCAAGCAAAGGCCAAATGAAAGCCTTTACGAAGCATGGGAGAGATACAAAGAGTATCAAAGGGAGTGCCCTCACCACGGAATCCCAACATACCAAGTGGTCCAAATCTTTTATGGCGGTTAAGTCCCCAAGGCAAGTCATGCCTTGATGGGGGGGTCGGGGGTCCTACCATGAACAAGACCGAAGAAGAAGTGGTGGACATTATTGAGGACGTGGTGACGTACTATAGAGATTGGCAAGATGGGGAGAAAGACTCTTCAAGCAAGCAATCTTCATTGTACTCGATGGACCATCTAAATGCGATCAAAAACCTTTGCTCCCAAATGACAAACTTGGGAAAGGAGATGACCGCAATCAAAGCCAAGTTGGAGAGCACTTCTTCTTCTTCCCAAGCTTCGAATCTTCCCTCCCAATTTAAGGGGAGAGGTACTCCTTCTAACTCTCAACCCCCTCCCTCTTCACATAATATGCCTATGGGTTGTTTGTTTTGTGATGCATGTGGATCGTATGATCATGACTCTAGTAATTGTCCTAATGAATGTGTTGATGAGTTTGATAACAATGAGAGTGAGCATGTGAATTATGTGTCAAATAATAATGCTCAAAGGTTTGTTAATCAAAGAGGTCAATGGAATAGGAATTACCAAAACCAAGGCAATTTTGACAACTATAATCAAGGTGGTGGTTATAGAAACCAAGGGAACCAAGGTTCTCGTGGTAGTTATAATAACCAAGGTTATAGTGGCCAAAATCAAAGCCAAAATTATGGTAATAAAAACCAAGGTTATGGAAATCACAACCAAGGTAGTGGTAACCATAATCAAGGTGGTGGTAACCATAATCAAGGTTATGGTCAAAATCAAAATAGGGGTACTTGGAACAACCAAGGGAAGGGCAATTTTCAAAATAATGCTCAAAGAGGTCCCCCACCCGGATTTGTTCCAAGGACTCAAGGAGAAAATTCCTATTCACAACCTTCTTCACCTAGGACCAATTTGGAAGAAATAATAGAGAATCAAACCAAGTTGTTGAACACATACATGGCCGTTAGTGATAAGAAGTTCAATGAAATGATGACCCACAATAAAATGCTTGAAAACCAAATTTCTCAACTTGCTAATGCTTTGAAAGATCATGCAAGCCCTTCTTCTTTACCTTCCCAAGTTCTTGATCCCAAGAAACACGTGAATGCTATTGTTACAAGGAGTGGTAAGGTTCTTGAGGAGAGGTTACCTAGGAAGGGTGAGGATAAGGAGATTCCTAAGAAAGCCTTGGTTGAGAATGAGGGGGATAGGGCATCATTGGATGAGGTTGTGGTTGAGACACCTAGAGAGGTGAGAGTAGAGAAAGAAATTGTGAAACCCAAGCTCCCTTACCCACAAAAATTCATGAGACGCAAATTGGATGAACAATTTGGGAGATTCATTGATATGCTAAAACAACTTCATCTTTCTCTACCTTTTACCGATGTTATCAACCAAATGCCAAATTATGCCAAATTCCTCAAGGACATTTTGAGTGGGAAAAGAACTTGTGAGGTTGTGGAGACTATCAATTTGACCGAAAATTGTAGTGCTATCATCATGAACAAAATGCCTCCCAAATTGAAAGACCCCGGAAACTTCTCCATCCCTTGTGCCATTAACAAGATGCAAATTGATAATGCCTTATGTGACTTGGGAGCTAGTGTGAGCATAATTCCATATTCGGTTTATCAAATACTTGAGCTAGGGGAACTCTTACCTTCTAACATTACATTGCAATTAGCCGATAGGTCAATTAAGTTTCAAAAGGTAAGGTAGAAGATGTTCCATTGAGGGTTGGGAAGTTTGTGTTCCCGGTGGATTTTATTGTGCTTGAAATGGATGAAGATGCTACCATTCCAATCATTTTAGGTAGACCCTTTCTTGCTACCTCGGGTGCTATGATTGATGTGAGGAGTGCAAAGATTTCCCTTAAGGTAGGTGATGAGGTCATTGAATTTGATTTGAATGAAAGCATGAAGTATCCATCTTCTTCTCTAACAAAATTGCATGATGATTGATACACTTGATCATGTTGTGTCTTCCATGCATGAGCACTTGCTCACCTCTAACGATGCTCTTGAGAATGTTTTGTTGAACAAGGACAAAGTAGGTACACCATGCAAGGAAATGGCATTCTATGAGGAATTGCTTAATGGAAGCATGGAGGAAGTGGATGAGCAAATGTGCTTGAAAATCTCACGCCAAGAAGCTTTGCAAGCGGCCACATCAAAGGAAGGTAATGGTGTGCCTATGGTAGAGCTCAAACCTCTACCATCACACCTTAGGTATGAGTTCTTGGGCCCTCATTCCACTTACCCCGTGATAGTTAGTGCATCCTTGAGCGTGAGCCAAGCTCAAGAGTTATGTGGTGTTTTTAGAAAGCACCAAGGTGCTTTGGGATACACAATTGATGATCTTAAAGGTATAAGCCCCGCCTTGTGCCAACACCACATAACACTTGAGGAAGGCGCCCTTCCTTCTATCGAACGACAAAGAAAACTACATCCCCAAATGGGTGAGGTAGTAAAGAAGGAGATCACCAAGCTATTGGATGCGGGAATTATATTCCCCATCTCTAGCTCAAGGTGGGTCTCCCCCGTGCATGTCGTTCCAAAGAAGGGGGGCATGACCGTGGTTAAGAATGAGAAGGGTGAGCTCATTTCAACTAGGACGGTCACGGGTTGGCGGATGTGTATATAACATCTAAACACATCCACCAAGAAGGATCACTTCCCTCTTCCATTTATTGATCAAATGCTTGAAAGACTAACAAGGCACAAGTTTTATTGTTTCCTCGATGGATATTCGGGATTCTTCCAAATCCCCATCCACCCCGATGATCAAGAGAAAACTACCTTCACATGTCCTTATGGGACCTTTGCCTATCGAAGAATGCCCTTTGGGTTATGCAATGCACCCGCTACATTCCAAAGGTGCATGATGAGTATTTTTGGGGATATGTTGGAGGAGGAAATGGAGGTCTTCATGGATGACTTTTCGATGGGGTTTCTCATTTAAGGAGTGCCTTGTGAACCTTGAGAAGTGTTTAGAAAGATGTGTTAAGGTCAATCTTGTTTTGAATTGGGAGAAGTGCCACTTCATGGTGGAGGAAGGTATAGTTCTTGGGCACAAGATTTCAAATAGAGGCATTGAGGTGGATAAGGCAAAAATATAAGTGATTGAGAAACTTCCACCTCCGGTGAATGTCAAGGGTGTGAGATCGTTCCTTGGTCATGCGGGTTTCTATAGGAGATTCATCAAGGATTTTTCACTTATTTCTAAGCCCCTAAGTGACCTTCTTTAAAAGGATGTTGAGTTCATTTTTGATGACAAATTCTTGAAGGCATTTGATAGATTGAAGAAGGCCCTAATCTCCACTCCTATTGTTCAAGCCCCAAGGTGGGATCTTCCTTTCGAATTGATGTGTGATGCTAGTGATTGGGCGATTGGAGGTGTTTTGGGACAACGTGTAGACAAGAAGCTTCATGTGATTTACTATATGTCCAAGACACTCAATGGGGCTCAAAAGAACTACACAACAACAGAAAAGGAATTTTTAGCAATTGTGCACTCTTTTGAGAAATTCCGTTATTACTTGTTGGGTTCCAAGACCATAGTCTTCACGGATCACGCGGCCCTCAAGTATCTCTTTGCCAAGAAAGAGTCCAAGCCTAGGTTGATTCGATAGGTGCTTGAATTGCAAACTTTTGAGATTGAGATTAGGGACAAGAAGGGTGCGGAGAATGTTGTGGCGGACCATCTTTCTCGCCTTGAGGGTGATCAAATTCATGATGATGGTTCACCAATTGAGGATAGAATGCTTGATGACTTCTTATATGCCATAGAGGTGAAGGAACTCCCATGGTATGCCAACTTGGTGAATTTTCTAGCATGTGGGGAGTTTCCACCCTCTTTCTTAAAGAACCAAAGAAAAAAAATCAAAAGGGAGGAAAGACATTACTTGTGGGATGATCCCATCCTATACAAACGAGGGGTTGATGGCTTACTTAGGCGTTGTGTTCCAAATGAAGAGGTGCCTAGTGTTTTAAGGATGTGCCACTCGGACCCTAGTGGTGGGCATATGGGTGTTTCCAAGACCGCTACCAAGGTTCTTCAATGTGGTTTGTGGTGGCCGCATCTCTTCAAGGACTCATGGGGCTTTGTGAAGTCATGCGACCGATGTCAAAGGGTTGGGAATATCTCCAAGAGGAATGAAATGCCTCAACAGTCCATTCTTAAGTTATAGGTGTTCGATGTTTGGGGGATTGACTTTATGGGACCATTCCCATCTTCATATGGTAATCAATTCATACTTGTGGCCGTGGACTATGTTTCTAAATGGGTTGAGGCCATTGCCTCCCCTACTAATGACCACAAAGTAGTGTTGAAGTTGTTCAACAAAATCATCTTCCCAAGGTTTGGCGTGCCTAAGGCTGTGATAAGCGATAATGGATCTCATTTTGTTCACAACGCCTTCCAAAAGATGTTGAGGAAACATGGAGTGCATCAACGGTTCGGCCTTCCATATCATCCTCAATCGAGTGGCCAATTCGAGGTCTCCAATTGTCAAATAAAGCTCATTCCTGAGAAGACGGTTGCAAGGAATAGAAAGAATTGGTCGAACAAGTTAGATGATTCTATTTGGGCTGATAGGACGGCATTTAAGACACCTATTGGTACCACTCCATATCGCCTTGTCTATGGAAAATCATGCCATCTCAGGGTAGAGCTTGAACATCGTTCCTTATGGGCCATCAAGAAGATAAATTTTGACTTAGCTAGTGCGGGGGAGAAGAGGTGGTTGGATCTTCATGAGCTAGAGGAACTTCGACTTGATGCTTACGATTGTGCTAGAACCTACAAAGCTCGCTCCAAAGAGGTTCATGACAAGTTAATTGAGAAAAAAGAGTTTTGTGTAGGTGACAAAGTCCTCCTCTACAATTCAAGGATGAAGTTGTTCCCCGGAAAGCTCATGTCAAGATGGAGTGGACCATTCTTGGTGAAAGATGTTTTTTATAATGGTGCCGTGGAGATTTCTCCTTTGAACTTCTCATCTTCATTTAAGGTTAATGGTCATCGGCTCAAGAAGTACTATGATGGAGTGTTTGTTGTACTTGTTCAATAAATGATTCTTTTTAAGCCACCTTGAGATGATGGTTCACGTCGAGCTAACGACGTTAACCAAAAGCGCTTCCGGGAGGCAACCCGGATTCTCATCTCATTTCTCTTTCCTTTCTTTTCTTTTATTTTTCCTTGATTGGTTTTTGATTTTATTTTGAGTTGGTTTTGTGTTTGTTTTTTAGGTCGCCTATTATCATCACTTGTTAGAAAGAAGGGGTTTGAAGAAGAGTTTAGAGTTCAGGGGAGAGGGCTTCCCGAGGGCTAGGAGAGACCTCGGGGGCCTCTTCACCTTTTCGAAGCATATCATTCCAGGGACTTCCTGCGGTTGCCCTGCGGTCTCTCCGCGAGCGCGGGAAGTTTTGGAGAGGCCTCGGAAGATTTGGAGAGGGCGCGGCCCTCATATCAAGCAAAATTGAATTTCATTCCAGGGACTTCCCACGGTTGCCCCGCGTTCTCTCTGCGGGCGCGGGAGGTTTTGGAGAGGGCGCGTCATGATTGGAGAGGGAACGGGCCTCAATTCGAGCAAATTTGGAAATCCATTCCAGGGACTTCCCGCGGTTGCCCCGTGGTCTCTCCGCGGGCGCGAGAGGTTTTGAAGAGGGCGCGACTTTTATGGAGAGGGCGCGGCCCCCGTCAAGTATAAAAATTCTAAAAATTCTAGGAGGTCCCCGCGGTTGCCCCGCAGTCTCTCCGCGGGCGCGGGAGATTTGCCGCGGGCACGGCATATTCGGGAGAGGGCACGGCGATCTGGGTCTATTACCCGGGCGCGCCCCTCTTCTTTCTCTCTCCTCTCTTATTTTCTCATCTTCTCCTTATTTTTCCCTTTTCTCTCTCTACCTCCTCTCAAACCCTAACCCCAAAACATCAATTTCTCACAAATTTCTTCAACTTTTGCCTAAAATTTTCACAAATTCTTCCATATTCCTCCATTTTCAACACTCCTACTCTTCTTTCTCGTGGTTTTTCGGGAAATTTCGGGTCTTTGAAGTGCTTTGAGTTTAATTTGAGTCTCCAATCTTGGTATACTTCTAACCTTTGTAATATTTTTGTCAATTTCAATTGATTTCTTTACATTGGTTTGTTTACCTAGATTTTGAGCATGATTTTTGTGTTTTATGGTTGATTTATGGGAAATTTGGTATATTTGGGTGATTGTTACTTTTTCTTGTTGATTCATGATTGTATTGATGAATGATTGTGGATATTGTTGTTTGTTGTTGGATATTGGTTGTTGTGTTGATTGGAACAGGTAGTTGCTCCCTATCTTTGATTTGACAACCTTAGTGAGTTTTTGCTACAACCATGTGAGATGTATATTTGTTCAAGCTTTCATCAAAATCTTGCATAAGCGGCATGGATCCTTGATTTTCGCAAACCTAATCTAGAATCTTAGCTTATGATTCCTAAGACCGTGACCGAACTACCTAGGGAGGACAAAGGCATCTTTTCGGGGAGGTATTTTCTTTTTCTAGGATAGTCCCTTTTTGTTTACTTTCTTTTTTTTTTTGGTTTGGGATACATTTGCCTACTTGTTACCCCTTTGAACCTTTTTCCCTCTTTTCAAGCCACAGAATTAGATATCTTGAGCCTTTTGTTTCGTTCTCCTTCTTTTTGGTTTTTGTGAAGCAAGGGTCAATGTTTGGTGATTGTGATCT